CAAAACCCAGCCAGTGCACCAGAAACATGATGCAGCCAGAGGCCCACAGCCTACGCCACTGCTGTGAGCCCAAGGCAGACTAAGCTGCTTGCTGCAGGGGGTATGAAGAACTCTCTACCACAAAGATCCCCTGTACGTGTGTATGCGTGTGTTCAAGATGTAGGGAATGACAGAAACTTGCCTCTTCCTGCACATGGGCCCTGGGGCTGCTGGCCAATAATTACTCATGGGACCTGGTAAGAAAACACATTAGCCTTTATTATGGATTTATTAGCAGAGGCAAGAAACGTTCCATCCAAGATGATGCAATTGGGTCCCTGGACAGATAAGAAACAGGCCTGTCCCTGTTTCACCCTGGATCCTGCTCAGGGTGGGAAATCCCACGTTTGTTGCTACAGTGGTTGTTTCTGCAGCTGGCCCCAGGCAAGGCGTTCCTGAAGTCTATGCTGCTTTGGAAACAGGCACATTCCCAGCTTTGACCTGACATGGGACAGGGATGGGGGCAGTGGACTGAATCCCAACCCCATCAGTTGCCTGTAGGACTCCTCCTGGCCTGGGGAGTTAAGTCTGGTGTGGATGAGCAGGGGGGCCAGCCTGACGTTGAGCGCAGAAACAGGAGAGACTGGTTAAACCACTGCAGCAGCAACATTACATCAGCTTCCTGGGCTGGTTGGGGCCAACTGGCAAGGGACCAGATGGATCAGAAAAAGCTCAGCTAACCCCAGCCATGCACAAAGAAGCCGTGCATCCTCTGCTCCTCTGTACCCGACTCTGCAAGCTGCAGCCCCGTGTTTGGTGATCAAAAGGCTGGAGCATTTCCTCCCAGCTCATTTACAGAGTCACCTCTCCACAACACTGTTGCCCAACAGGACACAAGCCCAGAAACCCAGGCCACTTCCAGCACACAGGGGAGAAGGCTGCTGCTTCCGTTAGAGGCTTAGCACAGTGCAAAGGAAATAACATATATTAGCTCTGGTTTATTGATGCTAAATGATTCACACAAATCATTATTTTAATTCATATGGAGGATTAGTGGGGCCTCTGCCTCTTCTACATGCTAGTGAGCAGGCTGCACACTCCCTGTGCTTACAGCCTGGTGCAGCGATTACTGAGCAGGTTATTTTTGGTATGGCTAGCATCCTGAGCTCTTGTGGGTAAGTCAAGAGGGGGCACACGCTCTAAGTTAGCTCCAAGAAGGAGCCCCAGGATGACTAAGGCTGGTCTGAACCCAGGGAGGATGATCCGGTGCCAGAGTCCATTCCATGGCACAGAGGCATCTAGTCTGCAGGCACTTCCTGCTCCGGCTCTAGCTCCGGCTCCAGGTTAGGGATGGGTTTCTGCAGGAAGTACAGGACAGCTTGCACAACCTTGTCTGGGGAGATGTTGTACACAGGATGCGTTGGCTGCTGTGAGGGGGCAGGAAGGATGAAAATGCCCACATTAGTGCTCATGCTTGCCAAGGTTGGATGCAGGCACTGCCAGAATGGGCAGAATCAGACCCATGCAATACCTCTCCACTCATTGCTTCCTGTATGAGTGCCCAGCACTGAGTGCTCTGCTTTCCAATAGTGCCTCTAGGGGGTGGAAGAGTGCTTCCATACAGCCCAGGCAGGCTTTAAAAGGTTTTTAAATCATGGCACCCCAGCAAGACATGAGACTCAGTGAAGGAGTCAGGTACCTGCAGTAAGAGCCCACAGGTAGCTCCCACCAGCCAGACCTCAATCACAAATAGGCTTCAGATCAGGGGTTCAGGGTCACCACGCAGCTGCCTGGCCCCCTACACAGCCAAACAAGGATGAGGTCTGTTCATGTCAGCCTTGCCCCTGCTGGTTGTTCCCCAGGGAACAAACCACACTCTGCACAGGGCCACAGCCCAACAAAGCGGCCAGGCACCTGTGAGGGAAGGGAGCCGATGAGCTAAGGGTAACTGCATCAAACTAGAACAGTCCCACCCGCAGAATATTTGGAAGCCCAAAAACATTCATGGGGTCTCCTGGGAAAAGCCTGTAGCAACAGCACCTCCCCTCCCCCATAGCGGAGGATGGTGTTTGCTGCACCCAGACCTGCAAAGATGGGGGAGGGGCAAGATACGCCAGGGCCTGGCAGAGGGGGTGGGGGAAGAGATCAAGGGGCCACACGCTGCACTGGCAAAGGGTGCAAGCATGCCCAGTCCCACTGACTGCCCGCCCAAACCCAAGGACCACTTACAAGGCGATTCTCAGGGACTCCCAGCACCACTTCATGTAGGAGCTCTCCGCTGCCAAAGTGCTGGGCTACTGACAGCCCACTCAGGCAGTAGCAGGTGTGGTAAAAATCCCGTGATCTGTGGCCAACAAGGGATATAGCTAGTAAGACCTTTTCCCGGAACAAAGCTAGCTCCCCTTGGCCCATTGCCCTGTCCCCTGCACCACATGAGCTTGGGTCACCATGCAAGGGGCAGGCTGCAGTTTTACCTGCAAGTCTATCAGGGATATTCATAAATAATACAACCTGATGATACCCACACATCAAAGCCAACTTCCCCAGAATCCCATGAGACAAGCCCACAAAAGCCAAAGTACTAAGAGGCATTTGTACTTGGCTAATATAAGTACAATTTGAGTGTGTGAGAACAAAGGGAGGGAAAGCTTATGCAGGCCAGCACCAACAAGGAGGCTGAGAGCTCTCAGGTTATTTTCTTTATACTAAATAAAAAACATTTTTAGTTCAGGTGATCCAAATTTCTCAACTGTTGTTGAATAAGCTGCATAGCAGAGGTGAATACAGCCAGTGGGCCTCAGCCCATGGGCTGTTAGCCAGCTGCTTCTTCCCTGAGGAGCACAGACAGCTGACTCCTCCTCCCTTGCCTGACCCCTGGCAATGACAGCTCTGCAAGCCACAGTTGAAAGGCAGCCCCTCCAGTGCTGGGCTACAGCTTGCTTTTAACCCCTGCTCTATACAGCATTTCCAGGAGGGAGGACCTGGTAGCTGGCACTTGGGCAGCTCTGGTATGGTTAAGGGTGGAGTTGTGGCTTTGCCACAACTCCCACAAAGGCACTCACTTGCCCGGTTTGTCCAGCAGTCCTCCTGCAGGACACTGGCAGCACAGCAGCAGGTACTCCTGCAGTGCCTGCTGGTCGAACATCCAGTGTGTCATGCTGAGGGCAGTGTCACCTGGGGAGGAGGAATAAGCAGCATGAAGAAAAACCCAAAGGGGAGGGAAAAAATGGTTCTAGTGGGTCCTACCCCAACATCAGTCAGGATACATAGACATGCACTGGCTCTCAGACAGGACAGGCTCCCCCTGCACTCGCCTGACTGGCTAGGGCTGTGCCAGGAAGTTTTGCCAGCCAGAAGCTGCCAATACATGCGCACACCCAACCTGGGTCTGCTGGTGCTGCACACCCTTGATATGAGACATCACATCAACAGGAGGTGGGGTGCTCTGTGGGCAGGAGCCCAGGGCTGACAGGGAGGCAGTTGTCCCAGGAGGGGGAGCTTACAGGCTGGTAGGATGGCAGTCCTCCCACACAATGAGACAGATCATGGGGTTCTGTCAGCATACATCAGATCTCTGCAGGGAAGCACGTGCTCGAGGCAACCAAAGTCATGCAGACAAGACCTCAGACTTAGCATAAGCAACTCCTTCTCCACACACCAGCCCTTTCCGTGGGTGAGCATCCTGTCAGTGCTTCCTGCTTTGTGAGCAGGGGACCTAGGTTACCCAGCATCCCCAGGCATGGCATCACTCTGACCACAAGAAGCATGTCTGCCCATGCCTTCAGTGGCCTTTTACCCGAGTTTAACTCTGTTTTGCTGCTTGGACTGGATTAGAACATTACTGGAGGCATTTTTAGTAAAAGGTCAGGAGCTGAGGCAGTCCTTTAAATAAGGAGCTGGGGCCAATTCAGGTGGTTGAGCAAGGACAGCTACTGTGGGCTTGGGGGAGGATGGGGAGGAATCCTGATGTTAAAATTGTTGCCCCAGGCCTGATGGGAGATGCGCTTTGGGTGCCTCGCTCACATCCTCCTCCTCTGTCTGGGCTGGCTGGTTCAACATCTCTCTTGCATCATGCACCCTGCTCTCTCCTGGAGAAGGTGGGCAGTGCATGCTGGGAGATGCAGCTGGGATGCCTCACACATTTCTCCTCTACAAGCCAGCCCTCCTTGGTCAGACTATGTCCCCGCTTCTTCAAGCTGAGGCACCCAAAACTGCAGAAGCACAGCCCAGTCCAAGTGGCCCCCAAGAGCCAGGATTCTGCTTTCCAGTCAGAAGCATTCCCATGCAGCACACACTTTTTGGCATAACTTCTCTTAGCTGGAAAAACAATTTTCCTGTAACCCCCTGCCCCCCAATTTTTCTGCATAGGTTTTGAGCTGCACCAACCCCACCACCCTGTCAGGGAGGGAGGCTATTGAGGTTGACAGCTCTGCAGCCTAGATAGCATAGCCTTCCCAGATATATTGGGTGCTGGCTACAGCTTAAGGGGTGTGCCAATGCTCCTGCTGACATCAAAACCAGAGATTCCTGGCTAGTGGGTCTTGCTCCTCTGCTCAGGGTCAGACTAATAATCACCATATCTGGGGTCAAAAAGGAATTCTGCCCCATGGTCAGGCTGGTATAAACTGTGGGGTTTTTTGCCCTCCTCTGTAGTGGAGGGCAAAGCCCTCTAACTCAGACCTCTTGAATGTACACTGACAACATTTTATAGAAGTAGGACATTGGCTGCTGTACCTGTGGCAAGTTAAGAGTCTGCATTGTGTCCAGACTGATGAGCATCTTGCATTGAGTTTAGATTACTGTTTGTATGGGATAGTTTGGATAGGGATGATCCTGCCCCAGTAGGAGGCTGGACTAGATGACCTCTGGAGCTCCCTTCCAGCCCTACTTTTCTATGACTATGACTACATCCTGCTTCGCTAGGACAAGAATCAGACTCGCCTCTGGCATGGAGTGCTCGGTGTAAAAGGGGCAGCAGGCCGGCTTGCCAGAAGGAGTAGCAGCCATCCACCAGCTTATTACAACGACCCTGGAAGCCCCCCTCAAAGCGCATCTGTCGGCTTGTGACCCAGTGCTGGAAGGGACAGACAAGAATGCATGTAAGACTTAGGAAGACACCAAGATGCAACTAATTTGGTGGTTCTGGCATCCCACTGATTAGTGCCTGGGGCATTTCCCTCCTCCTCTACCTCACTGAAAGGTGGAGGGGAGGGGGAAGGCAAGCATCTGGACAAGCCCCTCCACCCTTGCTGTCATGCTCCACAATGCACCACCTCCCTTCCCCAGGAGACTGACCACAGGGCATCACAGGAGATGCAGTTCCTGAGAAGCCCAATCCATAAAGAAAATGGGATAGGAGGTATCTGAGGTGCAGACCCTGCCAGGCACTGTAGAGACCTTCCCATACAGAAAGTGCACCAGCTTCTAGTTCTTCAGTTTTGACCTAGAAGTTTGAGTTTTCCCCATACAAAGGAAAAACCTTCCAAAAACCTAAATGTTTGTCAGAAAACCATTCTGACAGAATTCCTGACAGGTCCCAGATGTGCTCCTGCCACTACCTAGCTCTCAAAAAAACCTGCAGAAATACTACAGAGTGATGCACAACCGTGCAGGATCCTCTTCTGCAGGAAGGGTAATCACCTCCTTCCAGTAGCATGAGAAAAGGGCCAGCATTAAGGGTGCTAGGCTTTATTCAGCCACTCTTTCGCTCATCCTATCACATGGAAGACAGAAGTCCCAGGCAGTGAAAACACATTCAGGTCTCTACACTGACTCCTAGGCCTGGCCTCAATCCCGTAGAGGGGCAACTCTGCCCAGTCCACCACTCCTAAACTGTCCTGCAACACCATCACACCCCACCCAGACCATTTCGGGTGAAGTCAGAGATGACACAGGATCTCTTCAGTCCTGGAGTCCCCACTCCTGGAGTGTAAGAGCTCCTTGGAGCTCACTTACCAACAAGCTTTTCAGATTCAGCAAGTGCTCCTTCTTCAGGATGACCAATGCAGCTAGTCCACAGAAAGTGTACCCTCCGTGAGCCTCCATGCCAGGGACTCCACCAATGCCACCCTCCCAGTTCTGGCACCTGTCTCATCAGATCAGCAAGAGAACAGAATAGTCACTATAAGGCTGACACCTGAGGTTTCCCTTGTCTACAGGCCCCTCCCTCACAACCATCTGCACAGGCCATTGCCTGTATGCGGAGCCCTGTGGACATCCATGGGTCTGCCCCCATATGTCACAGTGCTGCTGGTGCAGCCCCAATACATTGCTCACCTGGCTATCCACACAGCTGTCCCTTCAAAGAGTGTAGGTGTGAAAATGTTGGTCAGCGAAGCCACTGAGGCAGCACAGTATGCACTCCTGGGGTTCACAGACAGAGAGAAAAGGCCATCATTACCCAGCTATTTACTATAGGGACAGGCAGACCTGGACCGTCTGTCATACAAATTCCTGCCAACCTTCCTGGGCTCCAAGTTCCCCCTGGCTTCCAAAATTGCCAATATGAGCCTGGCCATTGGGACAGGTCAGTGTTCTCCCTAGGAATGCTGGTTATTCAGCGCTGTCCCTTCCCCTTCCCCTTGAGAAGTTATGCTGGGGTCAATAATGTAAGTAGAAATGTTTGGCTCCCATTACCTGTGGATCACAAAGCAGGCTAGGGTCACTATCCCCACTATCCAGACAGTAAAAGCACAAGGAAGGGAAGTCACTGGTCACCAGCAGAAAAATAGCAGAGCTGGAAACAGAACCCATCTCTCCCAACTGTCAGCTCTATCTTCAGGCCTCACTGCGTCCCCATGCCCTATAATGCGAGCTGAGGAAGTTGCACTGAAGGCTTGAAACACTCTCAGCTCTTGCACTGGCAACTTGAGCAGCACAGTGGACGAAAACTCCACTACTATGTCCAGAACCAGAGCTCTGTCCAAGGTGGCAGGGCTTCTGGTGACAGTGCCAGGGCACAGGCAACCTGGCTGTAACAGTCAGTGGCAGCCAGAGCCCCAGCAGCTCCATCAGTGCTGTGAGCAGAAGCCCCGTAACTGTGGCCAGAACATCGAGGCAGAGCTTCCCACAATGGCAGCCTGCATCTTGGCATTTGCCAGAAGGCAGCAGCTCCAGCAACACCATGGGCAGAAGCTGCAGACCACTCAGACAGAGCTCACTCAGCTGGGTCTTTTGCCCCAGCGCTGGTCACAGCGGCAGGGCTCCTGCAAATGGTGTTGATTGATGCTGCCAGCCACCACAGGGAGTCCCACCACCATGTTCAGAGCTGGGACAAAAGCCTGTGGGCCTGATGGCCCAGGTCACTGAGCTCAGTGCGGTCCACAGGCTGTATGTTTGATCAAATTCTGCTCTGGATCAACTTCCTGGACAGCTCTGAACTCTAGTGCTTGCTTGTTGGCAAAGTTAAGCACTTGTCCAGGCAGGAGAATTATGATGCTGATACAATTCCCAGTATGTATGTGTAACAGAGAACCTCTGCCCCTGTTACCAGGGATGCTGGGGGAATGCAGGAAGCCTGAGGGCAAAGTGGCAGCACATGTAGCTGCGGAAGTGAACTGAGCCAGGGGCTAGAAAAGGGCAGGCAGTTAATGGCGGAATTAGCAGCCTTGGTGCAGGAGACAGGGTCTTGTGACCAGAAGGGGGCTGGGCTTGGGGCATATTAAGTCTAGCCTCTGGCCTGGGAGAGGGTGTTCTGGCTCTGGCTGCTGCAGGACACAGGGCTTCTAGTTGAGCTAGCTAGAGACTGGAGTCAAGCACACCCACCTGGAGACTTGGGGGAGTTTATGTTAGGACCAGTTAAGTCAGGGCTTTTTTGTTTGCATTCAACTGGAGAACTGGACTGTGGCTGCAGGGGAGGAGGCGGCCATGGGTGGGCTATATAGGAGGTACTCCCCTCTACCAGCACCAAAAGCTAGACCCAAGCTAAAGAGGTTGAGGCTGGCAGGGTGAAACTGGATCCCTAGGAAACGCTGCAGCCAATTCAGGGCCAAGGCTCAGAAGCTGAGGTCTCAAGCAGTAGACCAAGGCTGAGGATTCAGCTAGAGAAAAAGGGGGCCAAGGATGGGATTCAGCTAGAGAAAAAGGGGGCCAAGGATGGGATGCCTGAAGCCCCAACAGGTTCTTGGAAGCCTGTGGGAGTGCTCCCAAAGAGGAAGTGGCCTCAGGGAACACAGACCCCAGATGTGGGTTAGACACTGCAAAGACAGAACTGGCCATCAAAGAAAGCAGTAGGACTACTCCCAAGACCCTAGGGCAGAGCTTTCCAAACTTTTCATGTTGGTGACACACTTCTTAGACATGCATCATTTCGCGACACAGTAATTCAGTTCCGGGGGAGGGGCCAAGGGAAGCAGACGCGAGTAAGGCTGCTCCGTGGTGCCCTTCCGCAAAATTTTCTGCATTTCACACGACACACCTACACACTGCCACCGACACACTAATGTGTCGCGGCACACAGTTTGGAAAGCTCTGCCCTAGGGACTGCCTTCTCAGTAAACCAAAGTATAACAAAGCCATGGCAGGTGAAAGACTGGAGGCAAGGTGGGGCCAGAAGAGAGAGCCAGCAGGCAGGTTGGATCACAGGGGGCACCAGGTGCCAGACCCACCAGACACATTACAGTATGTTTATTCCATTATAAAGGGGCTTTGCTTTGGTCTAGCTGGGTGCATCCTTTCTGAACCACTAAGTTAATGGGCTCAGGGCAAAGTGTTGGACTTGGTAAGCTGATGGGACCCTTCTGGTCTAGGAATTTTGCAAGCCTATGTTTTACAGAGGGGAAAAGGAAGAAGATGGGCTTTTGACCAAAGGTTACAGTGTAAAGCCAAGGCAATGGCAACTCACCTCCTCCCTTGCACCCAGCAACCGTGCAGCAGAGAACCCAGGATCCCAGCTGGGAAAAGCACTACACTCCTGGTATTTCGCACATGCACACTCATGTTCAGGACAGCGCTAAGAAACCAGAGACCCTACTCACCTGACGTCAACCTCGCCTCCAATATGCATGAGGAAGGAGCCATCAGGCTGCTTCAGGGAATACAGATACTCTAAGAGCTTCTTCCTGAAAGGTAGAAAGGGCATCACTGAGGGTACAGTCCTACCACACACAGGACCCAACCCATCAATAGGAACAGCTGAAAGCCCCAGAAACACACACCAGTTGGGCTGATATACAGCTTTATAAAGGAACTTCTTTTGCTCCTCCCCCACCCCACCTCACCCCCAGTAGGCCCAGACACCCGAGGTCCAGACCGTCTTGCCTGTTGATGACATTGAATGCCTCTTCAGTACCAATGATGCAGAGAGCATTGACAGCTGCATACGTGGGTGCAAGATGTGGGTGTTGGCTGGGCCCCCCTCCAAAACCACCCTGGGTGCTCTGGCACTGGCTTAGGAACTGGCAGACACTGGAATCAGAAGAGGCAAGTAAGAGACAATGTTGGTTTTGAAAGGTCAAACATATGCATACATGATTCGACCCTTCTGGCACTTCAACTGGGTGACCTTAATCTCCCTGCAGGGAGAGAAACTATTTCAGCAGTCATCAAACCTAGCCATCCGTAGGCACAAGGTAAGGGATAGGTGTATGGAGCAATGGAAAATCCCAGCACCATCTTTGAAAAGCTAGGTAGATCCTGACTGAATGGGAGGGTTGGGCAAGTTATTCGCAACCCAGCTGGAGATGGTACCCACTGTACAGGATGGAGAGGTAGCAGGATATTGGGGCCAGAGAGTCAGGAGGCCTGCACTGGGAAGGAGCTGTCAATAGGGCCTAGCAGCATCTCAACGTGTGGAGTGTTCTCCCTGGATGCCTTCAATGAAGAGAGGAGTTGTCAGGCCATGTGGGTTGATGGGTGAGGGGTGAAATCTGAGCACACAGGGGCCAGTCTTTTGGTTCAAGAATGCTGGCTACAACCTGAGAAGTCCAGAACACACTTTGCCCAAAACAGACCCAAAGTGGCAGGGAAGGTTACAGGGCAGCCCCACTCCCCTTGTGCTGTAAGAAGCAGTTCAACATGCATGTCTCCCTCCCTGACAGTCCTCCATCAATGGGTGCAGGCTGCGTTTCAGTGGGAGGATAGCAAGGTGAGGTCCCAGGTCCATACACATGTACTCAGGTAACAATTGCACAGCCAAACTAAGAGTCTGTCCCCTCCAATGGCACTTTCTTCCACTTAAGTGCATAAAGCAGGTACGCCAGTTCAGGGAGGTTTCAGATCTATGTTATGGAAAATCAAGTCCTATGACGCTTGTGGACACAGCCTAGGAGCCCTAGCTTGGGTAGGAATTATAAGCTGCAGAGGGATCTCAGGCTTGAGTCAAATAAAGACAGCACAATGGTGCCTTCTGGCTATGAAATCCCTTCAATCCAGAAAGGGAGACCAGGAGACAAGAGACAAACCCCGAAAGACAGGATCACTAACAGTGAGTTTTATTAACGTACAACCAATGGCTCCTGTGGTGGCACAGTAGGGGGCGCTACTACGCAGAGCCACCTGCCTCTGTGCCAGGCCTAAAAACCTCGCTCTGGAAGTCTCCCACAGAGTGCCTGCAGCCAGCTGTCCCGCTTCCTGGAGAACACCCAGAGTAACACTGCCACTACCCGGGCACTAGTCTCTGTTAGTCTCTGTGCAGCCTGGGTCACACAGACCCTGCAAGCCTTGGGAGTGCTTTGCCCACTGGTAATATTTCTGGGTGCCTCTTTTAGCCTGAAGCATCCCAAGACAACCTCAGGTATGACTGAGGGAACATACACAGACAAGCTCTGCTGCTCTGCAGCAGTACAAGCTCTGCTGGCTGGGCCAGGAGCAAAAAAACCCAATACCTTTATTGATCAGGGGAAGAGGGGGATTTGAGGGGAGAGGGGGGTAGAACAAGGAAGTCAGAATACACCTTGAGCAAACATAATCAATCAGAGTCTCACACAGTCTTGGATGGAATAGTCCTTTTATAACATGTCTGCCTAGACATAAATCCTAACTCCTGGCTAATTTTCAAGTTTTTACTTACAGGAATTCATCCAGGAGGCAGCCTGGAGGCACTTTGCTTGTGGGCTTTTCAAAATGCCCACTGGAGGAAGAAAGAGCTCCCCCCTCCCCTCTGGAATTTATCTGGCCCAGTGACCTGGTTGACCAGCCTGAACCAAAAAGAAAGCAAGTGAGAGAGAGAGGGTACCTCTGAAATGACCCATGGGAGGGAAGAGAGGAGGATTTCTTCAGAATGTTAGGAGATGCCCCCCTCTCTCAATCACCCCACACAGGACTAAGGGCAGGGCTTGCCAGATCATGTTCTCCAGCCTCCGCTAAGCAAGACCACTTCTTTCACAATGGACACCACTGACCCTTCCTGGTTCAAAATACAGGAACTGGGATCACTCCATTATCCACACTGACTCTCTCCCAACTACTCTGTCTGGCCAATAGTATGCCAGACCAAGTGAAGGGGGTCTGTCTTTTCAGTTCCAGAGTCTTGTGTTGCAACAGGAATTTGCTACAGATGGAATGGAAGGCACCAAACAAAACTTACTCTGAAGCCACCGACTCCGGGATGGGCTCCTCCAGCAGCTCGAGACTGTGCAGGATCCAATAACACAACCAGGGACGGCTAGCATCCAGACACTACAGGTGGGGAAAGAAGACACCCATCAGGTCCCAGTTGATGATACAGACTGACCTTGTTACACTGGTGCAGGGAGATGAGAAGAGGGCTGCAGAGGACAAGCAGCAAGAAAGAGGCCTCTGCAGTGGAAATACAGCAGCAAGAAAAAAATACAGCTCTGCAGTGACAGTGGTCAATGTAGGACACAATAAAGGTGCAGAAGGAAAGAGCATAGATATCAGTGCCCATGCTGCCCTGGGAAGTGCAGTGAAAAGTAGCCCTATAAAAAAACAAATCAGGCAGTAACCATTTCCCATGCTGAAGGCCCCAAAGATGTTTTCCAGACCACATTCACAGCAGCACTCACTTTACTCACTACTAAAATCAAGCCACTTCTAGGGCATAACATTTTGGCTATTTAACTGCATGCAGTGACCCTCTGAAAATGTCCAGGGCAGAAAGCACAAGGGCAGAAAGCACTAAACTGAAATTAAACTGTCTGCCTAGAAAGAAGACTGGAAATTAAACAAAGTCAAGAACCAATGTTATTGATCCCATGTCCATGCAAGGGATGTGACAGCCAGTGATACAGAAAAACCAGTCAGCAGAACCGAGTGCTGCCTCTCTGACCTGTCCAAGCAGCCTTTGGCAAAACACTAAATGCAAGCCACATGTAAAGTGTGTTCAGCTGGAGGAAAAGGAAAGTGGGGAGGTGCTCTTCAAGTGGAGAAACAAGATGGATAGATTCCTGGTGTCCTGGTTCTGCACTGGTCCTGGAGCTGGCAGCAGCAGCTGATGACAGTGAGAGGGAAGAGCTGGCACCAAGCAGTTACCTCATAGGCATCTGTCAGCTGTCTCAGGCCTCTCTTCAAGTAGTGGAAATGCTTCTCCCGCTGCAGAACAAATCTGAAAGACACAGACCAAGAGCTCTTTGTTTCTTCATGCCACCTTTACCAACAGGATCACTGCTCTTTCAGTTCAAGCATAGTTTCATGGTTGGTAGGGTCGGAAGGGACCTGAGCAGATCATCAAGTCCGACCCCCTGCCATGGCAGGAAAAAGTACTGGGGTCAAACGACCCCAGTGAGGTGTTCGTCTAACCTCCCCTTAAAGCCCCCCAAGGTAGGAGCCAGCCCCACTTCGCTTGGAAGTGGGTTCCAGATCCTAGCCGTCCTGACTGTGAAGTAGTGCCTCCTGATGTCTAGTCTGGTGGATAAAATTGAACAATTAAAAACAATAATTAAAAAAAGAATCAGATTTTATTTAAATCAGATTTTTTTTTAGTTTAATCATTTTTTTTTGTTAAGATGCCTTTAAAAAAAAAAAAAAAACCTATATAAAGATAGTTTTAATTTAAGATACATTAAAAGCTCAAAGATATCATCATGGAATAAGGATTCTAACTTCTAATTATATACTATTTGAGACAATATAGTCATGAAACCTTTTTAGAAAAGTTTTATGGATAGGTCACAACAAGCCACAGACTATATTAAGGGCCCAATCTTATGAGCTAAGTACAGACAGTCAAAAAGCCTGAGGTTGAATTGATTCAGTCTTTGCAAGTTAATCTAAAATACAAAGACTAAATTGAAAACAGAAGTGAACAAACATTCACTTTTGATTCAGGAAATCAGACCAGAAGCCAGGGGCCACTAAAGCACAGCCCCCCTGGCATGTAGTCAGCATGGGCTATGTGTTTGCTTCCTCTTCCTGCTGCCCCCAAGGTCTCTGAGATTTGCAGTCCAGAGCCACAACAACAAGACTCTGCAGGGTTGCTCATCACTTCTTCTTCCTGCTTCCAGGTGCCTCTGGGATTTGTAGCCCACAGCTGCAGCCAGCAGTAAGTTTGAGCAGGGGAAGGAATGTTTAACCTCCATCCCTGGCCCCAGACCCCAGCCAGGGTTTGCCTGGGGGCCTCCCCCAACCTTGCAGACTGGGCTGCATTCCCATTGGGGCTTGTCCCCCACTCCCAACCCCTTTGCCAGCCAGCCCTCACTGCTTCAGCTACGGAACAGAGGGGTGGGGCCAACCCTGCTTTTTGGAGCAGATAGCACAGCCCAGCCCACAGCTGCAAAATGCTGGGATGCTACAGGACTGTGATTTAACTTGAACCAGAGGAAGGGGTCTGGGACAGAAGTTTCTTAAACTGGCTTGACCCAAATTAGCTAAGTCTGATGCTACATTCAGGCAGGTTTATCTTAAACCAGTTTCAGCTGTTTTGAAACCGGTTCTGAGCTTCTGTTCTGTTACAGGTTTAAACCAGTTTCTGATCACTGAGGGGTAGGAGATAAGCTATCAGGACACTTAGAAGCCGTAACAGCTGCAGCTGTCCCAGGAGCAGCCAATACCATCTGCCTGCACCATGGCATGGTGCAGCCCAAGAGGTGGAGTGAGTAGGGACAAGCGGAGCCCTGGGAGGTTTGGGGCACAGTGCAGCTTCTCTTCACACCAACTAAACATTCACTACCACCCTGTGCTTGTGTGTATTATCTGCTGTTGGTGAATACCAAAAGTGGTAGAAATGGGGGTGAGTACTGTATGCAAGGTAAGTCTGAAGGGGAAGGGGTGGGGGGAGGGGTGCAGCACAGCCCATCAGCTGCTCCCAGGGCTGCAGCAGGGAGCAAAGCAGAGGGAACTGTCAGTGGGTACAGGACTGGGGGGTGCAGCTCTTTTTACTACACCCCCCCACCAGGAGGGCTGTGCTGGGCTCTTCCCAGGGGGGCATGTGCCCCCGGATCTGCACGTGGAATGAGCAGGCGGCCAGCAGTGGCACTAGGAATGCAGATTGGAGGGGCTACAGCAAACTGAGGCAGCAGTAGTCCCCTCTTATCGCCATGGCCCTCCCCAAGCACTGGTAAGAGCCCAGTGCCACCACCAGCCCCAGCCTGCAGCGGCAGTCTGCACGCAGATCTGGGGGCACACGCCCTCCAGGAAGAGCCCAGCGCAGCCCCTCAGCCTACAGCCATCCCAGGTAGCACATAGCAGCAAGAGCCATGCCACACGCCACCCCCCGCGCACACACTGAGAGTTCCCTCTGCTTTGCTCCCTGCTGCAGCCCCGGGAATAGCCAACGGGCTGCACCGTGCCATGCCCCTCCTCCAGCCCCTTCCATAGTTCCAGCCTTACTCCCTCCCTCACTGCCGCGGGAACGTATCCCTATCTGTTACTTTATAAACTGGGCTCCCTTTATGTGAATTAGATTTATATGCAGTCTTCCAGGAAGGTGTGAACCACATAAATCAAGGGAAACCTGTAGTAAAAATCAAACGGATAACAACATATTTTAACTTTATTTTTAAATATATATATTTTTGTCCCGATTTTATTGTGCGTTTGGGTCATGTATATAGAGGTAATTGCATAATAGCTCAAAATGAAGTCTTACTCTTGTATATTGGGGTATGAGGTTTGTGGGGGGCTGTGGGTACGTGTGTGTGTGGATGTTGGTGGGTGGGTACAGGGGAGAAGGTGGCTGGGGGGGGTGTGTGTGTGTGTGTGTGTGTATGCATGTAACAGTGAGAGCCCCCCAGAGGCCCACTGGTGTGGAGGGGTGCAGTGTTTGTGGGGTGATTGTGTACGTGTGGAGGAAGGTGTGGTTATGGTGGGGAGTGCATGAGAGGCCCTTGTGTGTGCCCCCCAAAGCTGGTCAGCATTCATCCTCACCCCACAGCCTGGAGCCTGCACACCCTACAGTGTGGCTCCCCACCACTGCCAACAGTGGACAGCCCCAGCCCTGCCCTGCACCCACTCCCAACTCACCCCCACCAGAGCGGATAAGCTAGAACTTGGGCACAGCCCCGACCCGGCCTACCCCACACTGCCCACCCATGGCACATCCTGCTGCCCCCTGGGCATACAGTAGGAGCGGGGCAGATCCTTAACTCTACTGACTTTCTAGGTAGCCCAAGTGGAAGCAGCTCCTTCTGACTGCCACTGCTGCTGGCTCGAGCTCAGCAGTACTGGGGGGATCCGCATTGCACAGCCCTGACCCTGCATGCCCCGTGCCTGCTCTGGGCTCACCCGCCCAGGCTCAGCAGCAGTGGTGCTGGACAGAAGCTGTTGCTCAGTGTAGGAGAAAAGCGGCCTCTCCCTGTCATTGCTGTCAG